TGGACTTTTCCCTGGGGTCCAGTGGGGGCAGGCGCCTTTCTCCAGCTCAGCTGCGGCGAGGGAGCTCTCTGCTCTCTGCTCCCTCTCGCCGCGCGGGCTGTCTGCTGCAGCTGGGAGCCGGAATATGACGTCATATTCCGGCTCCCGGCATCAGCGCGCGGCGAGAGGGAGCAGACAGCAGAGAGCAGAGAGCTCCCTCGCCGCGGCTGAACTGCAGGGTGGGTGGAATCATCACCTCTTGCCCTCCCATGACAGGGGCAAGAGGTGAAACAGGGGGCACTGAGTGCCTGCAGGAACGCTGTTCCTGCAGGACTCAAACCATAGGCGTGCCACGGGGATTAGGGTGTGCCCAGGCACACCCGGCACACCCCGTGCGCACGCCTATGCAGATGATATTGTAGCTACCACCATTAATTTACACCTTCTCCCACTGAGGGCATGCAAAGGAGGTGCTGGGGAGACACTGGTTTGGTACCATCAGCCAGTCTCCTTTCCTTTATGGTATTTTAAGATTAAAGAAACTATAATCCTTGTCCAAACCCTGACCCTAATCTTAGATCTAACAATACAACTAAGCTTTACATTTAAAATAATGCCATCTCGTTAATATGTATTATATCTGTTACTCTTGGTCATTGTTTATTACACTATATGAAAATAAAAACTCTCTAATAAAACATGTTTGAGAAAATAATGCCATTTCACAATGCTGGATATATTCATAAACCATTTGACCTTCAGTCTTGTGGCCTAATATGATGTCACTGAAATCATGAACTCTTTGTTTTGTGTATGTGTGTATATTTCCAACCCAATTTTGTAGATTACAAAAAGTATGCTCACCTTATTTAGAATATATAGTCACCACCAAAACCTTCTCCAACGCCATTAACAGCTTCCACTGAATTGAGGACTCCTAAAGTAAAACATTGAAATCACAGGAATATGCCTTTTATATAAGTTTGCCAACACCCTTAAACATATTTCTTTACCTGCCCATGATTGATGGGAGTTAAATTGCTACTATTCTAATCTAATCTTGCTGTTCTTAATTTAGTCCACTTTATTTATCATGTATATATGTATAAAGTGATAACTACACAATTGTGGTAGTGCTGGGGGGATATGACTTCTGGGGCATGAGTTGATGAGGATATTATGGAACTGAGCAATAATGCAATTGGACTTGGGGGGCTGGAGTGCAGAATATGAATAGAGGTGCAATTAAACTGTCGAAAAAAGGACATATTTTCTCTAAGATGTTCTCATCTGTACTATTCTATATATAGACTTTCTGATATCGACTCAAAAAATTATCTGGATGTGTATCACCAGACAGAGAGATCTATTCCAACTGCACCATTTTGTTTACAAATTTCCATTTTTGATTTTCAAAATCACACTATGAAGTAAATCTGAAAGCAAGGACAAATATATTCAGAAATTCCCGTTTGCGAAATTACTGTTTAGTAAATTGGCCTCATACATCCAAAATGCCCCTATTTAGAAGGGACAGTTCCTAATGGACCTATTCTCTTCTCAATGTACACTGCTTCTCTTAAAGGACCACTATAGTGCCAGGAAAACATACTCGTTTTCCTGGCACTATAGTGCCCTGAGGGTGCCCCCACCCTCAGGGACCCTCCCGCCCAGCTCTGGAAAGGGGAAAGGGTAATAACTTACCTTTTTTTCCAGCGCTGGGCGAGAGCTCTCTCCTCCTCTCCGCATGAATGCGACGCTGCAAGAGCTGCCACAAGATTCAGCAAGGTCATAGGAAAGCATTTACAATGCTTTCCTATGGACGCTGGCGTGCTCTCACTGTGATTTTCACAGTGAGAAGCACGCAAGCGCCTCCAGTGGCTGTCAATGAGACAGCCACTAGAGGATTAGGGGGAAGGCTTAACCCATTCATAATTATAGCAGTTTCTCTGAAACTGCTATAATTATGAAAAAATGGGTTAACCCTAGAAGGACCTGGCACCCAGACCACTTCATTAAGCTGAAGTGGTCTGGGTGCCTAGAGTGGTCCTTTAAGTGACCTGAATTAATCATATGGCTTGCTTATAATATCCAAATCTACCTATCTTTGCTTAATCTTTCTCCCTGTCTGATGGATTGTGTCACTCACTGCCTATCCTATCTTTCTGACTTGATTACTTCATAACTCCTAAACCCCAGCCTCTCCAAAAGCCAAACTTCTTGTTCCACTCTCTAGGGCTAAAGCTGTACTTGTTTCCTTGTATTTCCTTACTTTGCTTTGTGTCATCTGCAAAACTGGCCCCAACAAAGAACCCTAAGGCACTCTACTTCCCACTTTTGTTCATTTTGAAAATGTTACATTTACAACTACTCTATGCACTCTATCTTTAAACCAGTGTTCTAGCCAAGAACACAATTTTTTGTCTAAACCAACTGATTTTTAGTTTTACTAGTAACCTTTTGTATTCAACTGTATCAAATGCTTTAGCAAAATCCAAGTAGATCACATCTACTGGATCACCCTGATCTATATATCTATACTAACTTCTTCATAGAATGCAATTACGTTAGATTGGAATGACCATGTTGATTCTTGCTAATGATATTTTGTTCAAAATTAATTATGGATTATTATCTTGGTTTCCAAGATGAGCTTTTGAAACCTTTTGAATTATAGGAGCCAAATCAATTTTTCTCCAATCCTCTGGTATTTCTAAAAGGAAAGAATCTTGAATGATTAAAAACAGTGGTATGGATATTTCTAAACTAAGCTCCCTATGCATGCATGTGTGAAAACCATCTGGCCCTTGGGCTTTGCTTACATTAATTTTCATTTCTGAAGCACCTCATCCTGTGTTAACCAATAACATGTTTGCTATAATGCTTTTGTAACAAGGATTTGCAGATCTACGGCCATAGATTTTTCTTTCCGGTATACAATTATTTTGACTTTCTGCCTTGTCCTGTTCATCCTTAGTTAACTCAGCCATCTCATTTTCCAACAGACCTACAATTTCACTGTGAACGTTTTTGCATTAAATACTTAAACGGACAATATAGTCACCAGAACAACTACAACTTATTGTACTTGTTTTGATGAATATAATTATTCCCTTCAGGCTTTCTAATGCAAACATTGCCTTTTCAGAAGGGCAGTGTTTACATTGCCCCCTAGGGATACCTCCAGTGACCACTCCTTAGATGGCCAATGGAGTCTAGCTCTCTTTGGCTACAAGCTTTTCAATTACAAATTTATCCCATCAAATCAACCTTTTGCAAGCCCTATTGGCATGTTTATATTTGCTATAGGATGCATCCGATTGTAGGATATGAATATCCATTTTGCTCTATATCCTAACTGTTCATGTAAGGGTTAATTTGAATCAAGAATAAATTTGGAATTGTATCTCCAATTCTCAGAAATGTTATTGAAGCATGATTTTGTCATGTTCCTGGAAAGAAGATATTTGCGTGACATGACATGACATGACATGGCGTGACATGACATGGCGTGACATGACATGACATGACATGACATGATAAGGATTCTGGAATGACCTTGTTAATTGTCCAAGATTTCTGTATTTGTAATCATCTGGGTTTTATCCAATATGCATACATTATGTAACATCGAATTATAACTGAAAACAACTTGTGAAAAATAAACTATGTCACAATGCTTAATGACCCCCACCGACATGAAAATGGGGTATAAGTATAACTGATGTATCAATTAAAATTTGAATTGGTTATAGAACACATCTCTTGTCTTCTTGACTGATTCCCAGGATCCTGTCTGATAAAGAGGGTGCAGCTCCGGCAAAATATCCATCCTATCCCCTACAAATTGGTGTCAGAAGTTTTGGGGTGCATTTGTGAACGGAACGAAAGAGATCAGGTAAGAGAATTGGGTGTCTTTTTCACCTTTGTTCTTTTACTTTTCTTTTTCCATCCTTCATACATTGCATAGCTACGTTTTTATTGAAAGGGGATTTAAGATTTTATAAGGTCTCCTTGGGTAGGAGTAAAGCCTTACTTGTCTATGGGAGACGTCCCTAGACCCCTCTTTGGTAGAGGTTACCTTTGGTAGGTTGTAAAACAGATTTCCAGTCTTTGGTGGACTTTGGTATTGATTTAACTTAGTTGTTAGTTTGTTAAGCTAAAAAAAAAAAAAAGAATTGTTAACTCTGTACTTGATGGGTATTTTGGCTGTCCTGCAACTTTTTTTTTGCATGCAATATATTTGGTGGCTTTTTATATAATTGTGCAAGGAATTGGAATTTCTGGTTTTAAGCGATACTGCTCGTGGAGAAGTAACAGTTTTGTGGAAACTTTTGATTCCAGACAGCTGTTCTTTAACCACTGAATAATCAGCTATTCCAAATCCGATTCTTATTGAGTTTGAAATGGGTACTTCCCAGTCTAAAAAATACCCTCGCCCTAATCCAGGGGAGACTTGCAAGCAGTATGTTGCTAGAGTTGGTGAACTGGGGGATTATTTAGTGGATCCTTGGGTGGACAATTTGTCAGGGTGGACACAAGGACAGGGCAGTGAAACTCCCTTCCCTAAAGACGGGGCTAATGATGATTATTTTCTGAGTATGGTTAAGGGATTATGTTTGGAAGATAAGAAATCTTTTCCTTGGTATGAGGGAGATCCAGAATGGGACAAAGAATACATGAGACAGGGGGGTGAGAATTGGCTTAAGATTGCACCTCACTGGTACCCTGTTTCCCAAGAGGGGAAAAGGATAAAAAAGAATAAAAAGAATAAAAAGAAAATTAAAGAAACTGTTGTTAATACCTGCAAATCACAGCCTCCTCCTAATTACACCCCATACTTTAGCCCACTATATCCTAACCTATCACCTAAAAATGACGATGATTTAGTTCTTGCTGTAGCAGTTGGATCACAAAGAATAGCCACTGCTCCATCAAGTTCCCTTTCTCCCCAAGATGAGAAGGTTAAACAAATTCAGCGAAGGTCCCCTAAGGGTATCCAGACTAGGTATAAGAAAAAGATGGGGCTGGGTGTTAAAAGAACAGATAAAGATGATGGAGAGGAGGAAGGGGAAGAAGAATTTGATGAATTAGACACACAACAGACATATCCTTTTCTGACTGTTGGAGATCAATTAATTTTGAAACCTTTAACTCCAGGAGAATTGAAGGACATAATTAAAGGAGCTCCAAATCCTAGAACGAATCCTTCTGCATGTATTATGTACTTGAAGAGAATGTGCCAAGGACAGAATATGACACAGATTGACATAAAGTTAATTATTGATGGACTATTAGATTATGACTCAGAATCTGGGTGGGAATGGAGTAGAGTAACCACTGTCAGTGTTCCACTTGATGGAACCACAGTGAGTACTTATCCATTAGCCACGGAAAAAGGGAGAGACATTATGTGGGATGAAGTAAAAACAGAGATGATGAGATTATGGAAAGACAAGCAGTCTATCTCCACTGCTTTGTCCTGTAAACAGGGCACAAAGGAGACAGTGACAGAATTCACTAGAAGGTTTTATAAATGTTGGAAAGATGAAGCTGGACTTGGTTCAGAGGAAAGTGGTATGGGTTCTTTAAAAATACAGACTTGCATTGGGAATATGCTTCCAGCATATTCACTGCTAGTTAAACAGCTGATTTCAGAGTGGTCAACTTTAACTCCAGTTAAATTCTTGCAGAAAATACATGAGAGAGAAGCAGCAGGTTGTTTTGCTATTGGTAAAGATGGAAAGAGTATGTTGTATCAGTCACAGGGTTTACAGCATTGTGATCCTAATCGTGCAAGACAGAGAGATTTTGGAGGTGATAGGAGATTAAACCAAAGAGGATTTAGGGGTCCAGGGGGAAGAGGACGTGGAGGGAATAGGTCCCAACCATTTACTAATAGAAGGACATATTGTTTTAACTGTGGAAGGCAGGGACACTGGATGAATGAGTGCCCCAACCCTATCAGACAAAAGACTGGACAGGCTGAACAGACCCCAGGTCGCCCATGGATACCCCAACAGCCCCACTACCCCCCCACAGCATCGCTCTCCTGCCCCTAATACCCCCTCTGGCCCTAAAACTTCATCTGGCCCTACCCATCACATTCAATGGCCATAGGGCTGCCCAGAAGGTAACACCCCAGCTTTTCCTGTATTGTCCTCTAATTTTATGGAACAACCCTTTATAGTCCTCAATGTAAATGGGAGGGACATGCCCTTTATTGTAGACATGGGTGCAACCTGTTCCACCATTTGTATGGATGTATATAGAGGTTCAAGGGAAAAGTCGACACCTTCTGTGGGAATAAATGGAGTGTTAACAAAAACCTTCAAAACTATCCCTTTGGAAATTAAATTACCCCACTCCCCTATTTCTCTACGCCACCAGTTTAGCCTAATCCCAGGGTGCCCTGTTAGTCTCCTAGGGAGGGATCTCCTTGGACTACTGGGTACAACTGTGGATTTTTCCCCTGAGGGTGGCATGGCAGTTTCCCTTACTGCCCCATCCTCTGGAATTTTTCTGCAGATGGATATGGATGAGGTACCTGCTTCTGTATGGGCTTCATCCAAGCTAGATGTAGGATACATAAACTGTACCCCTTATAAAGCAAAACTACGTCCAGATGTCAGCCCAATTTATATTAAACAGTATCCCCTGTCACAGGAAAAGAAGGATGGGATCAGACCTATGATCCAGTCCTTCCTTCAACAGGGTATACTCAGGCCTGTAGTCTCCCCCTATAACTCCCCTATTAACCCGGTCCCTAAGGCTACCAAGGACTACAGATTTGTTCAAGACCTTAGGGCCATTAACAATTTGATTATTCCAATAGCCCCCATTGTCCCTGATGTTAACACTCTGATAACAGCCATTCCTCATGAAGCTAAGTATTTTACAGTCATTGACTTAAGTAATGCATTTTTCTCGGTCCCTGTTGACCAAGAGACACAACTACTTATGGCTTTCACTTTTGAGGGGGTTCAGTACACCTGGACTCGCCTTCCCCAGGGCTACGTGGACTCACCAGCTGTTTATTCGCTGGTGCTCCAACAAACCCTTAAGTCATGGACCCCTGGTCATGGTTCCGTCCTGCTGCAATATGTTGATGATATACTGCTGTGCAGTCCTGACTGGGAAGCCAGCACACAAGACACTGTCAGCTTATTGAAACATTTAGCACTGGAAGGCCACAAGGTAGCCAAGCATAAAATCCAATTGGGTGCAGAGAAGGTTGACTATCTGGGATTTGTGTTACAACAAGGCACACGCTCCCTCAGCTCCAAACGTATTGAAGCTCTACAAAGGATACCCAAACCTGTTACAAAGAAGGAGTTGCTCACCTTCTTGGGTATGATCAATTACTGTCGCCAGTGGATACCTGACTACGACTGACTACCTGACTACGACTCAATTTTGAGAATGGCTGTAAAAGGGGACAGCCCAGATTACATCAGATGGTCACCTGAAATGGACAATGCATATGTGGCACTTAAAGTAGGCATTATGCAGGCCCCAGCTTTAGGACTGCCTAATTATTGTAAACCATTTCATCTTTATGCAAGGGACAACTGTAAAACCATGGCTGCGGTCTGTGCTCAGGAACATGGAGGTGGTATGCGTCCTGTAGCATTTTTCTCCAAAGTAGTCCCTGTTCCGGTTCAGAGGATGCCGGCGTGTCTTAGGGCCCTGGCTGCTTGTGCAATGGCTGTTGAGACTGCTACTACTATCACTCTGGGCCATCCCACTATTCTCCATACATCACACCAAGTGTTGCATTTGATCAAGAATCTCACTACACAACACATGACAGCACAAAGATTAAGTGGTTATGAAATAATTCTCTTAAATTCTACTAATTTACAGATCAAGTACGGCCCTATTAATTCTGGCCCTATGAGTGTACTGCATGCTATCCTTACTCATGACAACCCTAATCTAAGCAAAACTCAGCCAGAAGAACATGACTGTATTCATACTATACATACACATACCTCCCCACGCTTAGACCTCATGGATACCCCTCAGCCAGGTTCTGAGGATGTGTTTGTGGATGGATCTTGTTCCCGACCTGTTGACGGTCAGTACCAGACTGGGTATGCAGTAGTCCAATTACCTGATAAGGTCCTTGAGGCTAGCTCCATACCCCACATGTCAGCCCAAGCTGCTGAGTTGGTTGCCCTCACACGTGCATGCACTCTATTCACTAACAAAGATGTAAATATTTACACTGACTCACGTTACGCTCATGGGGTTGTGCATGATTTTGGAATGATTTGGAAACAAAGAGGATTCATTGCAGCTGATGGTAAAGGCATTTCTCATAAGACATTAATTGAAGACCTCTTGCATGCTTTGCAACTTCCTCGTACAGTGTCTATCATTCACTGTAGAGCTCACACTCAAGGTAGGGATGATATATCCCTAGGCAATGCACTAGCAGATAGAATTGCCAAAGAGGTAGCATCTCAGACCATTTATTATCGTATGATATTTTCAATTTTTAGTCCCCCTAAATGCCCAGAAGAACAGTTGTTGCAAGAACTTCAGGGTTTTGCAACCCATGAAGATATTGCATACTGGAAAAAACAAGGTTTGGAAAAAGACCAAAATGGCCTTTATTCCAAAGAGGGGAAGATAGGGATACCAGAAAGCAGTGCCCCTATTTTTATTTCCCAGGCACACGGAGTGGGTCACAAGGGTCTTAAGGTTACTTTGGGTCTTATTCAACAACATTTTGTAATCTTGAATCTTTCTCTCCACTGTCAGGTATACTTACAGAGGTGTGTCCAATGCTTACAGACCAATACTACTGTCACACACAAGGCTAGACATGAACACCTCCCACCACCTACAGGCCCTTTCACCCATTTACAGGTAGATTTCACCCACATCCCCAAAACAGGTAAGCGACAACAATACTTACTGGTGATTGTGGATCACTTCTTAAAATGGCCCGAGGCCTTTGTTACTAATAAGGAGGATGCTAGGACTGTGGTGAAAATACTGACCACTGAAATTATTCCTAGGTATGGCTGCCCATTGCAGATCAATTCTGATAATGGCCCTGCCTTTGCTAGCAAAGTTACACAGGAACTGGCCAAATGGTTACAGGTTACCTGGAAATTTAATGTACCCTACCATCCCCAGAGTTCAGGTATAGTAGAAAGAATGAATAGGACAATTAAGGAGAAACTGATGAAGGCCACAGATGGCACATGGGTTCACTGGCAAACATACTTACCTGCTATTTTAGCTGAAATAAGAATGACCCCTAGCAGGACTACTAAATTGTCACCGTTTGAGATACTCATGGGAAGACCATTTCCTACTCCTTGGGTGAAGGGACGATTTGTTATTATGCCTGGTGATTTAGACTTAATCCAGGAAGAATATGTTAAACAGTTAATTTTTAAACTCAACTCTGTATATGGTGATGTTTCCGTGCAGTTTCCTCTACCCTCACAGGAACCTACACATCCTTATCAGCCTGGTGATCTGGTCTGTATCCGACAGCTGAACAAGAGCAGGAAGGGAAAGTTTCCTTTTGGTCCGCCTACCACTGTGATTGCCGTGACCCGAACCGCTGTGCTCACCGATTCCCAAGATATCTGGATCCATGCATCCCGTCTGAAGCCGTGTCCAAAGAGAGGTAAAGTAGGAGACAAGCTTAAGGTCCTTACTCCGATTGGCCCTGACGACCCAACATCCTTATCTGAAGTGCTATGGCTAAAGTAAACCTATTGGATCCCTTGCATGGGGCAAAGAATTTTTTCATCATCCTAATTCTCTCCATGATTCTCTTCCTACCGCTGATTGTCCTTCTTGATTGTCACTATGATTATAAGAATATGAGAGAGTTCCAGAAGGTCTGCTTCTGGAAATATCACAACTCCACCAGTTACAGTGTCCAATTAGGCCTTGATCATCCTACTAATAGAACCAGACACAAAAGATCACTACCCACAGACAAGACTTTGCAAACTCACACCAATTGTTCTTCTAAATCAGTATTTTGGTGGAGCCGTGCTAAAGAGACTAGAACACAAGAGGATTTTATATGTAATGGCGGCAAAACCTGCCTTGTACTTAATATTACAACTAAAGGTCAAATATGCATTGCTGCAAAGACTGCACAAGTAGTGGTCAAACCATTGCATGATGATTCCGTAAATTGCTCTATAACAATTACTAACACTACTGGTTTTTATACTCTTTCTTGGCTATTTTCAGAACCTTATCCTTTCACAAACAAAGGAGTTGGTTCAATATTTTATTATTTGCAAAATACTAATGTTTCCTTAGATCAAGACAATCCAGTTCCCCTTACTTCTATCGCTCCTGATAATGTTCATAGCATGTATAATGCCACATGGCCTAGAGGATACGTCCGTATCATATATAATAGAAGTAGAATAGAGAACAGAGGTTGGTTCGCGGTTTTATTATATTGTAGCCCACATACTACACCTACTGTTCATAATTATTCCCATATTCCAATACCCTCATCATGTGTAAACACTACTATAATTCAGAAGGCTGTACACGTAACACTAAATATATCTACACCTGATGTACGATTATGTAATCCACTACCTAATAGAGAGAAGAGAGAATGGTATGATACCCTCTTAGGGGGTACAGGAACAGCTATGGGAATATTAAATGGTGTAGACATGGAAATACTAAAGAATAAGTTATCCACGGCAGGGAAAGAATTAGGGATAGGATTTCATGTAATGGCTAAATGGGCCCCTACCATGGTACAATCACAATGGAAGGAATTACAATTAGAACAATCTATGTACACCTATCTGGGTAATCTAACATATGCTATTACTAACCTAACAAAAGGAAGCACTGACTGGACCTTATGTGCCACTAGAGTTTTATGGATGCATCAACAAAGGTTAAGACTAGAGAATACTCTTATGGTACCTAAAATACAGAAAGTCAGAGAAATGATGGAATTGACTGACAATTATTGGATTAGTTTAAGGTCAAATGATGTAGATTGTGAGGAATGGGTAGAAGATGAGATATCGAGTTATTCATGTAGGATTGGATTTACCTTATATGAAGTCGCTCCAACCCATATAAAACTAGCATGTAAGTTCTTTACTTTACCTACACCAATGTTTAATATACTTAATGATAATCTTACTTGGTGGAATCCAACTTTTACAGGAGAATATATATATTCCCCAAGGATAATAAAACATATTCATTAGAACACTGTGACAAGGCAGATAAAGGTTACACATGCAGACATTCCTCACCCATCTATGAACCATGCTTATTAGCTAATCAAATAAGTAGTTGTACTTGGCATGTATATCCATCGGATTATTCAGTTATGTTAGAAATAGAACCACAAATAGTGTGCCTAGCTACCAAACAACCTGTCAATATTCCCGAAGTTGATAAACCTTTACCCTTTGTAGGATGTATATCAAATGCAACCTGGATAAAATGGAAAGATCATACTTATTTCCTGCAACCTATTCCTAGTATATACAGATCTAAAAAATATATTCCACCTGCGTTACCTATCGTTGATTATCAACTTCCTACAGGAATAATAATTAATTTACTAAGAGGAAAAGGAGATATGTTTAAACATTTGAAAGCACATAAAGATGCCTTAGTACATACTGAAATATCCACCCACATAGTTGAAAGGGAATTAATTAAAGTTAGTTCTAAAATCCAGGAAAATTTTGCTCATCATTGGTATGATGCCCTCACAGGTTGGTCCCCTACTGGCGCACAAGTTGTAAGGTCCTTTTTCTACCCTCTTGTCATCATTGTGATAATACTTGCAATAATGATATTGTTTAATTGTTATCTAACTTGCACACTTAAGAAACGTGTACAACAGATGATTACAAAAGCTGAAAATCGACAGCTCGATCTCCTCTTAAAGGGAAAACCTACGGCATAGAGCAAATGGGGGAAATCGAGGTGAAGAAATAAGGAAAGTCCCGCAGACGTGATTAGCACGCCTGAATATACCTCCTTTCGTTTCTCTGCCGCAGGCCTCCCATGGATATTCCATAAGGTAGATCACGATATGATCTAAAGAGAGGAATTGTAGGATATGAATATCCATTTTGCTCTATATCCTAACTGTTCATGTAAGGGTTAATTTGAATCAAGAATAAATTTGGAATTGTATCTCCAATTCTCAGAAATGTTATTGAAACATGATTTTGTTATGT